CCTCAAGTGCTCCCTTGGCTGTGCTCGGAGTCAGCAGTAGCTGCTCACCTCCCTTTCCTGGCTGATTCTGAAGGAAAATTGGGGTGATGGGTTACAGGAATGGTGTTCCAAGGATTCGGAGTCAGTGTCCCGCTCCCCACATGCCCAAGGCATTCCTGCCAGCAGCAACTTGGTGTTTAAATGTCTTTCAAAACACGTGGAATTATTTAAAAGTCCCAAACTGTTGCTGGACACTGAGGACAGCCCTGAGGAATAAAGTCAGGGAATAGACACAGGATTTTTTTTTTTTGCTTTTCCCTGGAGATGAAAGAGCTGGAAGTACTGCTGAGAGGGGGAGATCCACGCACACACTTCCTCAGCATCCTGCTGCGTGGTTCCAACGGCAGCAGCCAGGAGTTTGGGATACTGAGCACATCCTCTGGCTTTGTGTTTGCTTTTTGTGGGTGCCCGAAGGCTGACGTGCTGCTCTTGGCAGAGCCTGGCCCGAGGGCACGGCTGGCACAGCAGTAATTAAAAAGCAAACTCATTAGCTGGGAATAAAGCCCCAGCCCGGAAAGGATGGGAGAAGGGGAGAAGCTGAGTCCATGGGCTCTGGAAAGCCCTGACTGGAGAGGATCAACGATAGCTGGCCCCAGGAACATCTCATTCCTGGAGGGCACCAGGCACTGGAGAGTCACTGGAAGGGGCTGGAATGCTCTTATCTTGGGATTTTGGGAATCTCCCAGTCTCACTCTGTCATGGGCAGGTAGCATGAGTCCTGGAGTGGGAGCTGCTTTCTTCCTCCAGCCTTGACCAGACTCTCATCCTCAGGGTTTTGCAACAGATTTGGGGAGCTTGATGGGATTTTTTTCCCTTCTCCAAAGGGAATTGTTGAAGAAGGAGGAGCTGGGAAGGAGCTGTTTGTGTTCAGCTCTCTGCCAGAGGGAGGGAGAGCTCAGGGAAAGCATTTCCTGCACTTTCCCTTTGAAGGTGATGTTGGATTTCAAATGTGAGAGGCAGTTTTCTGTGCTGCTTAAATTTAAATTAAAAAAAAAATAGAAGATCAAGGAAAAAAAAAAAAAAAAAAAAGCAAGAGTAATTTTGGCGACAGCATTTGATATAAAAAACCTCCAGTTTGATGTCTAGTGGAAAGTGTCCCTGCCCATGGCAGGGGGCTGGGATGTGATGGTCTTTAAGGTCTCTTCCAACAAAACCCCTCTGTTGTTCTGGGGTTCTGTGAATATTTTTAAAATTAACCTTAAGTAAAGATTATGCTGAAACAAGGTTTGAATTTAAATATTCATTTGGTGCCTCTCATACAGAATTTTTGGTTTAACATTTTAGTGTGTTTTCAGAACTCAAACCTGTATTTCCATCCTTTAAAGACCAGCATGAAAATGCTGTATCTGAGAAGGGGAAGAAAATTCAATTATTACTGTTGAAAAGTGTATTCACAGGTTTAGTGTCACCTTCCCTTAATCCCTTTCAAAGCACTTGGGACTGATGGAGAAGATATTTTCCATTTTGAAGCGTGGGAGAATCTACACATACAAACTTCCCTGATAATGTCTTATCTACAGACTTTGTGTGAAATATTTTTAATTTTTCCAGTGGAACCAGGCTGGGAGAGCTGGGGATGTTCACCTGGAGAAGGGAAGGCTCCAGGGAGAGCTCAGAGCCCCTTCCAGAGCCTAAAGGGGCTCCAGGAGAGCTGGAGAGGGACTGGGGACAAGGGATGGAGGGACAACACACAGGGAATGGATTCCCACTGCCAGAGGGCAGGGATGGATGGGACATTGGGAAGGAATTGTTCCCTGGGAGGGTGGGCAGGCCCTGGCACAGGGTGCCCAGAGAAGCTGTGGCTGCCCCTGGATCCCTGGCAGTGCCCAAGGCCAGGCTGGACATTGGGGCTTGGAGCAGCCTGGGACAGTGGAAGGTGTCCCTGCCATGGCAGGGGTGAGATGAGATGGACTTTAATGCCCCTCTCAAGCCACCCTATCCTGTGATTTCATGATTAAATACGTTTTGTAGGACGTGCACTTTGCCTTCAGGTCAGAGATTGTCACTTCATTTCTCTGTGTTTTGGGTTATTCCCCTCAGCGGGTTATGGACGAGCTGCGAGATGTCAAATTTCCAATCTCCATCAGCGACTGAGGGGCACTAAAGGGCTTTAGATCTTAATTAATGTGCAGCATACAGGCAGGCTTTGATGTACAGCCATGTTTTATTTATTTGGGAAGGGAAACACCAGCAGAGTGGTTCTAACTTAGTATAAAAATCGTTGTAACATGACCATGGAATCAAAATCTTGACCACGGGGAGAAGATAATTCCCTATATGCCAAGGGTTGGGGGGATGGGGGTGGAATTAAAAAATTTATTTTTTCTGTTCCTATAGGGAAGAAAAAAAGACAGGGAGAGACCGTGAGATAGTTTATTATTCATAATCAGGATCTTGTCTCCTAATTCATGGCTTTGGCATTTCTCATGCCAGCCCTGAATGTCGTCTTTGTGCCTTGGCTCACATCACGACGCCAATTGTGCTCGTGCGTTCTCGAGGCAGGACCTAAAAAAGCGATTTTTGAGTGTCCCATCAAGCACCCCCTGGAACACAGGCAGGTTTTTGTTGTGGGGCTGTGTCCGTGGAGCAGGGAGGGCTGGCTGGGGCTCGGCAGGGCTCTGTGGGTCAGCAGCTCCCCCCGGGGCAAAGAGGGGTTTTTTTGGAGCCTGAAATAGTCAAGAGTCAGGGATGACGCAGCCTCTGCCAGAGCCTTGAATGGGAATTGTGGTCGTCATCCCTGCAGCTGTGGGGTGATGAGTCCCTTTGGGTGGGAAATGGGGGATTTGTGAAGTTTTCTTAGGACTGTTTTCCAGCGGGGAATGGCAACTTAAGGCTCTTTTTTGGGGAGTAAAAGGAGAAGTGGATCTCAAGGCACGGCCACAAGTGGCAGGGTGTTCCTTCTGCCTGAAAGTGGGTTGAGTTTTGCTTGCTTGGGAGAGCTAGGACTGTTCAGCATGGAGAGGAGAAGGCTCCAGTGAAAGCTCAGAGCCCCTTCCAGGGCCTAAAGGGGCTCCAGAAGGGCTGGAGAGGGACTGGGGACAAGGGATAGGGGTACAGGACAAGGGGAACACATGGGATCACAGAATGGATTGGGCTGGAAAGGACCTTAAAGCCCATCCAGTCCCACCCCTGCCATGGGCAGGGACACCTTCCACTGTCCCAGGCTGCTCCAAGCCCCAGTGTCCAACCTGGCTTTGGACAGTCCCAGGGATCCAGGGGCAGCCACAGCTTCTCTGGGCACCCTGTGCCAGGGCCTGCCCACCCTCCCAGGGAACAATTCCTTCCCAATATCCCATCCATCCCTGCCCTCTGGCACTGGAAGCCATTCCCTGTGTCCTGTCCCTCCATCCCTTGTCCCCAGTCCCTCTCCAGCTCTCCTGGAGCCCTCTTAGGCTCTGGAAGGGACTCTAAGCTCTCCCCAGAGACCTCAGACACAGTGTTTAGGTGAGTTTGAGTGGTTATCTGTGGCTCAGAGTGTGTTGCTCTCCCCAAAATCCCTGTCTGTGGCTCGAGAATCAATCCACGGCAAGGAATCCTCGCTGTGGTCCTGCGGGGGAGAGAGGGGAGCGGAGAAAAGGCCACAGGAAGGAAAACAATAGGGAAGTGGAGGGAAGAGCTTGTGGGTTGAAAAATAGCAACACTTCCAGTAATGTGACCTTTTGCTGAAAATGTTTCCATCAAAAAAAGAAAGTCTCCTCCTCCTCCTCCTCCTCTCCTCTGGGTGCGGGGAGGGGTGAACAGGCTCCTGGACCTCTGCTCCACAAGAGTATTTGGGAAAACCCCTCTGAACTCTCTCTCCCTGGGATGGATAAGATTCATGTCCTGACACAGGATATGGAGAAAAAAACCCCACCTTTATTTTCCAGTTTTGCTGAAGCTCAGTGTTTCTGAGAGATTAGCCTTTGTTACCCTGTAACTCATGTTCATTCAATGCTCGAAGCAGAGTTACTAAGGGATTGCCCCAGAGAGAGAGAGAGGCAGCAAATGTTGCAAATACAGAATACCTGTGAAAGGCAGAGCTGTCACTCAGGTGGAATTTAGAAGATTTTTAGTCATTCATTGGGTGGCAGTAATTTTTTTTATTTTTTAGGAGAAACAAGCTGAGTTCACTGAGTTCAGCTATTGCAAAGGGGTTGTGGCTTCCCCCTGCCTGAGGGCATGGATAGATGGGAGGATAGATGGGAAGGAATTGTTCCCTGTGAGGGTGGGCAGGCCCTGGCACAGGGTGCCCAGAGAAGCTGTGGCTGCCCCTGGAACCCTGGAATTGTCCCAGGCCAGGTTGGACGCTGGGGCTTGGAGCAGCCTGGGACAGTGGAAGGTGTCCCTGCCCATGGCAGGGGAGGCACTGGATGGGATTTGAAGTCCCTCCCAAGCCAAACCTGTTTGGGATTTATTTTACAACACATCATGGTTTTCTGCCTGAGTTTCTTAAAGGGAGAGCCTCAAGTTCCTGATCAGGGCAGTCCATCAGTTCATCCATCACAAGTCAGGATTAATCCTTTCTGTGAAGTCTGGGATTACTCTTTATCCTCCTTGTTTCCAGTGATGCTGGATGAGTGGAACAGAGGTGTGTGTGTGTGTGTGTGTGTTTGGAAAGCATGGATGGGTCATACATGATGTTCCTTGCTTGCAGCAAACACACGGGTTTGTAGGAGGTGGTACCTGGTGGAAAACTTGTCAATCCCTGAATTCCTGTAGTCCTTGGTTACCCCTAAAGGAATGCCGTGAGTTTCATGGTGCTGCTCTTCATTTAGACCATGGCTCCTCCATCCTTTGCTGGGTTAGGAATGCACTCAGTCCTGCAGCTGAGGAGCACAGGTCAGACCATGGCTCCTCCATCCTTTGCTGGATTAGGAATGCACTCAGTCCTGCAGCCGAGGAGCACAGGTCAGACCATGGCTCCTCCATCCTTTGCTGGGTTAGGAATGCACTCAGCCCTGCTCTTGTGTTCTGCCCCGCAGTTGACGTGAGCACAGCCCTGCCCTTGCAAGTGGCGCCGAGCTCGGTGCCCATGGACCTGCGGCTGGACCACCAGTTCCCCATGCCGGTGACGGAGCCCACGCTGCGCGAGCAGCAGCTGCAGCAGGAGCTGCTGGCCCTCAAGCAGAAGCAGCAGATCCAGAGGCAGATCCTGATCGCAGAGTTCCAGCGGCAGCATGAGCAGCTCTCCCGGCAGCACGAGGCGCAGCTGCACGAGCACATCAAGGTAAGGGTGGCTGGGGACGAGGGGATTGTGGAATTGTTGAGGTGGGAAAAGCCTTCCAGGATCGTCCGTTCCAGCCATCAACCCAGCAGCACCTCCGCGTTCCCCGAGCACTGCATCCCACACAACTTCTGAACAGTTCCAGGCATGGTGGCTCCACCACTGCCCTGGAGAACCTGTTCCAATGCCTGGCCACTGTTTCACAGAAGATATTTTCCCTAATCTCCAATCTGAGCTTTTCCGGGCATGACTTGAGGCTGTTTCTTTATTGTCCTGTCCTTTGCTCTCCACCCTCCTGTGCAAAGCCAGAGGGCCCAACTGAGCCTCCTTTTCTCTAGGCTAAGCCACTTTCCCAACTCCCTCAGTTGCTCCTGGGGCTCCAGACCCTTCTCCAGCTGGGCTCCCTGCCCCGGACACAGAAAATGCCTCAGTGGAATTGCCCCCAGCAGGAGGTTACCTGTTACCGTGGTCACACATTTTGGGAGCAGTGGCACAGGAGCTTCTCGGGACGTTTGCTGTCAGCACAAGCTGCAGACGGAGCTGTGGGGGCTGTGAGGGGGCTGCAGGAATAGAGAGTGCAGGGACAGTGCCTACAGGTAGGCCTGGACACGTTCACATTTTTTGGAATTAAGGCACCAAGCAGGTGCTTTGCCCTGCTTGGGACAGGGAGGAAACACTAGGCAGGGTCAGTGGGCAGTCCAGTCTGGAAGATGGCTGTTGCAGAGTGAAAACATGAGACATTATATAAATATTTCCCAGTGCTGGACTATTGCTATGGCAACGTAAGCTTTCCGAATTGGTAATAGGCTCCTTTTTTCAAAGGGGGATTAGTGCTGCACATGGTAAATAGCCTTAATGTAATATTAAAAAGCAACCTCGATTCAACCTTATATAACTTTCATTTCAATACAAAATGCATGTCAGATTGGGGAAGATGGGATTAAAAGTTAATGGGGTGTTATTTACAGACTTCTTAGTAAAGAGAGGATCTGGGCTTTGTGAGAAGTGTCCCTGTTTGAGGCTGGATTAACAGCAAACGCCCCTGTGCCTTGGTGAGTCCTCTCTGCTGGTGCCAGGGCAGAGGTGAGGAGGTGCCTGGGAGTGAATATATTTATATATGGATGCACAATGTGTGCATCTCTGGGTGTGTCTATGGAACGCTGACGTTTCTGTAGTTGCACGTTTGCCCACGGCTGGCGCAAGCACTCGGGGCGGGGGGAAGGATGGGGAATTCCTGTGACAAATGTTTCCATTATTCCCTTGTAATTGCCTGTGCCTGTAGTTATTTGTCTATGAAAAGTCAGGCAGGCTTGTTCCCATTGAATGGCCAAGCTCAAAGCACTGGTGATAGGAACATATTTGCTCTCATTTATGTCAAAGCTCTGACTGGCTCTGCTCAAAATCTGTGTAAGGAGGAAGCTGAGCTCTAATTCTGGGATGTCACAGTGCATCCAGCCCATTAGGTAATGAAGTTCTTCATCTCCTATGTAAGCTTGGCTAAATGAGAGCCTTAAAATAGGGGTGATACAATCCTGTACCAAAGGGTGGCCTGCAAGGTGATCTCTGAGGGTATTAAGTGTGTCAGTGGGACCAGAATTGCTTTAAAAATCAAACAGCCTCTTATTGAAATAAACCCTGTGATGCCTCACAAAGAAAATAACCCTCAAACCCTACCCCACCATGTTACTGTGGTGCATTCTCTGGGAAAACATCCTGCTTATCTCTGTGCGCAGGAGTCAGCCCACGTTTAGGTGACTCTTAGGACTGGCAACTGTGTAAAATCCAGTGGCTATGAGTGCAGGCAAGCAATTATTTTGCCCAGAGAATTCAAATGTATAACTTTAAATTTCGACTTGGAGCTGCCCAGCTCATGAAGAAAGCAGAGTGGGGATGTTAAAGCAAATAAAACCCATTTATCTTCTGCAATTGAAGCACTTGAGCTGTGCAGTTTGCTGTAGAAACAGTCCCGGGTGAAGATGCAGATCTCTTTTTGGAGAAATTTAGTTGTTCTGGTTTTGTTTTTTTTTTTATTTAGTCATACAGGCATGAACACCCCATGGCAGGGGTTGGGAATGGGATGAGATTTAAGGTCCCCTCCCAACCCAAACCATTCTGTAATTCCATGATTCTGTGATTCTGTGATAATGTTAAACCCACAATTGCTTTGGAAACTGCTTCTGTGAAGGGAGGATATTTTCTGCATTCCACACTGTTCTATGTATGTGGTACTGTCTACAATTGATTACTTTGGCTTTTTCCCCTGCAGCCTGGCATCCACCATTTTAATCAACGAGTGCAAAGCATTTATTTCCTAGAATCCCTGAAAGCTTTGGTCTGGGAGGGACCCGGAGGACCATCTAATTCCAACCCCCTGCCATGGGCAGGGACACCTTCCATTATCCCAGGCTGCTCCAAGCCCCAATGTCCAGCTGGCCCTGGACACTTCCAGGGATCCAGGGGCAGCCACAGCTTCTCTGGGCACCCTGTGCCAGGGCCTGCCCACCCTGCCAGGGAACAATTCCTTCCCAATATCCAATCCATCCCTGCCCTCTGGCAGTGGGAAGCCATTCCCTGTGTCCTGTCCCTCCATCCCTTACCTCCAGTCCCTCTCCAGCTCTGCTGGAGCCCCTTCAGGCTCTGAAAGGGGCTCTGAGCTCTCCCTGGAGCCTTCCCTTCTCCAGGTGAACACCCCCAGCTCTCCCAGCTGGTGAAGCTTTCAAACAGCTCCTTTGTTTCCAGTGTTGACTCCTTTGCCGATACAGGAGAAATCGTGGTTTGGGGTTGTTTTATTTCTTTCATTGCCGTGGTGTTGGTGGAACAGAGGAACTGGTCTGACTTGACAGAACACCCCTGCATCCCACCCCCCAGGAGTGTGAGGAACGCTTAAGTGAGTGAAGTTTGGCCTGGAAAATGCTGGCATGATTGCCTGTTTTTCTATCCCAGTAGATAACTTTTTCCTATTGAGAGCTGAAGTTTTGGCTTTTTCCAGAGCTTGGAATTGCTTCCATCAGCTTGGTTTTAATCATCTGACCTAGTGCAGGAGGAGAAGGCGATGACTGCCCGAACATGTGATCCTTCCCCTGGCATGTCCCAGTCCTTGCTTTTATAGACATTGTGTTTTGGTCTTCACGTAAAAGTGACAGATTCCCCAAGATGGTGCAAGATGGAGAGAGCCAGGAAATGAGTGAAACAATATTTGTGGAAGGGCTCTATAATGTCTATAATGGACAGAGCTCGGCACAGGGGAGGAGGGGAAGGGTAAGGAGAAAACCCAGGCATGGAGAGTAGGGGGAATGGCTTTGAACTGACAGTAAGTTTAGTTTGGATATTAAGAGGAAATCAGTGATGAGGCAGGGGGCTTGGAGCAAACTGCTCTAGTGGGAGATGTCCCTGCCCACAGCAGGGGGTTGGAATGGGATGAGCTTTAAGGTCCCTCCGAACCCAAAGCATTCCGTGGCGATTCTGTGAAAACCCTGACATGTTTTGAGGAAAATAAGCTGAGCCTCTTGAAGGCTTCACACCATACGGAGCAGGGCAGGCTGTTTCTTTCACAGCTCCCGAGCAGCTCTGCAGATGGCCCAGGCCTGACTCCGGGAAGCGCCAAGGGAGAGGCGCCGGCGGCTGCTCCTCTCTCCTGTAGCCACTCACCTTCAGCCAGGCGGATTTTCCACTCCTCCGTGCATCGCCAGATGTGGGACAATATTTATGGCCTTCAAATCTGCCTTCCTGAACGAAACCAAGAAGGCAATAAGGGGCCTGGCTCTTGGGTGAGATGGTGGAAAGCCTCTCCGCAGGTCCCGCTGCAAGCTTTGCCTGACCTTTGGTTGCGGAGGAACCGGCAGGGAATTCTTTCCTTTATGAGTCACTCATTCCCAGCCAAGATCAGCTGGAAGTTACCAGAAGCTTTTCCGTTTGCCCTTTTGGTCAAGGGCTGGATGGAAGAGGAGCAGGATGGGTGCTTTGGCAGGGCCAGAGGCACCTCAGGCACTGTGAGCTCAGAGGGGAGGGAAGGACGTCGTGGGGAATGTGGTTCATCTGCTCGGTCCGAGCTTGGAGCAGAGCTCTTCCCAGCTCTGGCTGTTTTATAGCCACAGCCGGAAACTTCTCGGGGATGCTGACGCACGTCGGTGGTGGGATAACAGCACAGGCAAGCAGCTGAGCCTCCCAGCTCCTCATTGGCCTGAAATCCTCCTCACCCACGGGTGTGCAATCCCATTCCCAATTTTCCCACCCTCTGAGAAAGGACTGTGTGCATCCCTAGCACAGGGAGTGCTGGGCCGTGCATCCAACATAGACAGGATGGGCAGGGAAGCAGCAGCAGGGAAAGGAGCTTTGTGAGGATGTTTGCTGTGCAGTGGTCCTGAAATTGTTCTCTTTCCCCAAACAGAATGAATTCCTATGTTGAGTGAAGGATAGTAGCACATCTGAGGGATCAAGCCTCTAGTTCAGAGACACAGGGTGAAACTCCTGGGCCATTCCTTTGGTTTCAGGGAGTGAAAATCTTTCAGGGAATCTTCCAGACAGATTTTGCTGTGCTGTAAAGAAATGTAATTCTTTCCCAAAGATGTCTAGACTTGATAGTTGTCATGTTGTTGCTGAAGGGAGAAGCTGCTTCTTGCTTTCATGTGCAGCCACCTGCCCATGGAATGGCAGGTTTGCCTGCAGGATGCCCCTGGAGCTGCTCAAGGCCAGGCTGGATGGGACTGTGGTGGAAGGTGTCGCTGCCCATGGCAGGGAGTGGAACTGGATCATCTTTAAGGCCCCTCCCAAACCAACCCAGCCCAGCCCATTCCATGATTCCGTGGTAGCTCACAGGGCCCAAATCACATAGTCCTTTAGTGGGGCTGCTCTCAGCATAGCCCTAACAGTGCCCAGAGCTTCTCTTTGGTGGCCTCTCCATGCTGATTCCATGTTGATTCCTGCTCAGCAGGGAAAGCTGGGTGTGTTTCGGTTCTGCTGCTGGGGTTGGTGTCGTCTGCTGATTCTCTGTGGCACCTTCCCCA